TATGGGAGAATTCAAGATAAACAGGAAATTGATCAATAAAACAAAAGAAGGGCCTTGCCCTGATGGATAGTAGCAATGCACCATGAACAGAGAAGTGAAACTCAGCACTCTGCTTCTGAGATCAGGTCGTCCTAGGACTCAGTTCTTCATCTGTGATGACCAGAAGCAGATGCTTTCCTCCTCCCCACAGACCTCTCCCCCCATTCTAACCTCACGGGGCTTGGGGTAAAGTAGGAAAGATTTCAGTGCCTATGGAACTGCCTTGTTTTTAACCCTTCCTAGCTTTTGTCACTCAAAAATATGAACTTAGCAATTTTAGGTGAGGCACAAAGTGGGCCTTCAAATCAAAAGCTTATAAATATTAATTTCATATACTTTGGTCGTTCTCATCCTTCGAAATGACTCTCAAATATCCTTCCATATATTAGGACTCCGCAGCTCTGCAGCAGAGCCCAGGGGTATAAAACGCGTGTGAGTCTTTTCAAAGCAAGCCCCAGAAGACTGTCATGAGCAGCCAGTCTTGCAAAGAATTGTACTGCCACTCGGTGAGTGCCAGTTTTCTAACCAGATGTAGAAGAGAGGAACATTCCAAGCATGGAGAAGGATGATAGAGCATGGAAAGTTCTGGTGGGTTCAGGAAAAAGGCAGCTACGGGAGCTGGGGTTTGCGGAGGTCAGTGGTGGAAGCTGCTGCAGTGGGGTCTGATTCAAGCATCTCTAAGAAGCAAAGCTGAGGGCCCTGCCCCTTGCTCTGGAGACAGCAAGGCTTGGCATGGGTGACTCAGCAGGAGGAGACCTGATCGGGCATGCTGGTTGTTACCATAACCAGTAGCCACGAGGAGTGGACTGCAGGGCAGTGCGGTTGGTATGGATGCTAAGTAAAAAGGGAAGAAGGAAGGCAGCAGCGTGGGCCTTCTGCCCAAGAGATGAGGTAGGTTAAGGATGATTCTGATGTTTCCATCATCAGAGACTGAGTGGAAAGTGGCACGAATAACATTAGGTTTCCCTGCTTAATTTACCAGCGGAACACAGATAAAATCGGGAAGAACCAGGCAGCTGAGCCACCCTAGAAATAAATCCTCTTCCTCTGTGGAGTCAAGCAAACAAAGAATGTTTATGTTAAACTACTGCGTACATTTAATCCTGACTCTACCCCGAGGGTGGATGCCTGGGAGGAATTAACTCTTGCAGCTTATTTATTCTAAACACTGTGCAGAAGCAGTTCCCTTACTTGGTATCTTATGTTTGATAATCTAATTTAGCCTTCTGGCTCCCTAGGCCTGTCTGGCCTCCCTGTATTTGCTTAGCAAATCTGCCACCTCTTTAAGCCTTAAATCAGTCTGGCAAATATCACTGACCTACCAGATGATACTGTTTGTCATGTGGGTTTTAAGCAGCTATGTCCCTTTATGTTTTAGTACCTTTTCCCTCCTGCCCCGATCATTCTCAACTGCCTGCTTAGACTCTTTCTTTTCCTCTCTCCTTCAGTCTAGCTGGATGATTAGAAAAGCAACAGTTAGATTTCTTGGATAAAGTAGCGTTCTAATAAGCACGCTACAGTTCAGCTCAGAATGCTCCGCGGTGGCAGCTGAGGAAATCCCACTGAGAGGCTGTGCCCTAATCCCTCGAAGACGCAGTGAGGACCCGCACAAGGAGGGCTCAGGGAAATGGGAAAAGGGCAAGAGGCCAAAGAAGTCACAGGGAGACTGCAAATAAATTTGTTGAGGGGAGAGAAAAAAGATATGTAAAAGATTAGGGATCATGATTCAAGAAAGAGGGTGTGATGAGGGGTGCCTGGGTGGCTCAGTGGGTTAAGCCTCTGCCTTGGGCTCAGGTCATGATCCCGGGGTCCTGGGATGGAGCCCCACATCGGGCTCTCTGCTCAGCGGGGAGCCTGCTTCCTCCTCTCTCTCTCTCTGCCTGCCTCTCTGCCTACTTGTGATCTCTCTCTGTCAAATAAATAAATAAAAAATCTTACAAAAAAAAAAAAAGAGGGTGTGATGAAACAAAAGATGAAAAAATAACCACGGGGGGTGGGGGGCTGGGTGGCTCAGTCGGTTAAGCATCTGCCTTCAGTTCAGGTCATGATCCCAGGGTCCTGGGATGGAGTCCAGAGTCCTGCATTGCATCGGGTTCCCTGCTTAGTGGGGAGTCTGCTTCTCCCTCTGTCTCTCCCTCTCGCTTGTGCATGCTCTCAAATAAATAGATAGATAAATAGATAAATACCACTGGGAGCAGAGATGTAAGTAAAGCAGATATCCCCCCCCCAGATTGTACTGCAGTAGAATCAGGCAACACCTCAAAAACTTGGGAAGATTGAGGGGTGCCTGGGTGGCTCAGTTGGTTAAGCAACTGCCTTCGGCTCAGGTCATGGACCCAGAGTCCTGGGATCAAGTCCCACATTGGGCTCCCAGCTCCACGGGGAGTCTGCTTCTCCCTCTGACCTCCCCTCTCATGCTCTCTCTCACTCTCTCTCTCTCTCTCAAAATAAATAAATAAAAATCTTAAAAAAAAAAAAAACCAACTTGGGAAGATTGAAAAAAGAAACAACCTCTTAACAGTAGCCATTCAGCGTATGTTAACTTCTGTAAAGAACTGCCCCTTCTGTAGGAACACACACCAGACTCCAGCTAAGCTGCCCCTGCTCTTCTATTTCGAATCCCAAACTGCCTGCCCCCAATACCCCGCTGAGACATCGACCTCCTTGTTTCTTGCCCCCATGATGGTTTCCAAAGACCATCTGTCTTCCTTTCACATCCTCAGACTTGTTCATAAGTGAACTTCTCTTCAACTTTTTCAGAATACTATATCCTGCTAACTCCTTTTTGGGGAGTTTATCATGTGCTGAGCAAAGCACCAAGTACCTTACAGAACTTTTCTTATTTAATGAACACAGCTTAGGGAGACAGGCTGTTGAACAAGATGGGACCATATCTGTGGGTTAGTATATGGTCACCCGTAGAGAGGGCTCGGAACAGTCACGGAGTCTGGGTGCTTTACTTAGTAAACAATGTGTAAGAACCTTGTCAGAGAACTAAGTTCACAGCCTTCAGAGCAGGTGACCTTGGTGATAAATATAAGAAAAATAAGTCTTCTGAGTATCAGGATCTGAATCTTTCAGGAATATAGTCACAGATTTGGCTATTATGACCAGTTGATAGGAAAAGGTGAGTCCCCTGAAGGAAGTTAGATGATTTAATGGTCAAATAAGAAGGAAAAGGATAAGCCCACTAGGAAGAGGACAGGGCTTTTTAAAAAATGCTCCAAGGGCAACTGGGTGGCTCAGTCAGTTAAGTTCCTGCCTTGGGCTCAGGTCACGATCCCAGCACTGTGGGATCGAGCCCCACATCAGTCTCCTTGCTCAGCAGGAAGCATATTCTCCCTTTCTCTGTGCCCCTTCTCCCCAACTCATGCTCTCTTTCTCTCTCATATAAATAAATAGTCTAAAAAAAAAAAAAACACACACACAACTAAACCAAGAAAGCGCTCCAGGTGATCATGATGGTGTGAGTTTAGAGGCGAGTTCATTGCTTTCCTGTAGCTCACCTTATATATCTCCCAAATGACAACAGCACAAACCAACAGAGTGTTAATTTACATTATATGCATAAAACAGAAAGTCTGGAATATACCAATGGAAGCAGGAAAATGAAACCAACAAGGGTTAATGTCATTTGGGTTGACGCCAGACTCACAGAACTTTGTCCCAATATAGCATTATTTTCTGCCACATTTTATTTAAAAGATTTTAGTTGATGCATCCATTTCCCCACCTAGGTTATGGACACTCACAGGCATATACTGCTTTCTAGATAATCTTTGCATCTCTAGCAACTGACGGTGTACTCAGCACAGAAAAGACTCTCAAAACATATTTGATAAATGAATGCGGTTGGTTTTCTTGACAAAACAATAATAAATGAATTTCTCAGCTAGAAAAAACTTCCTTCCAAGAATCATAACCATAGAGACTTCAAGAAATCAGAGTCTATACACTGTGTTCCTGTCTCTTTAAACAGAGCAGGCCCACCCAAATATCCTTGTACATTTGGCCTGTAAGATCCAGTTACAGAAAAAATTATTCCAGGAAATGTCCTTTGTGCACTCCTCACTCATACACATATCCCCTGTTCCGGCTGCCATGCTCTGCCTTTCCAGACTCAGGGTCAGACCTCCCACTTTGATAAACAGCTGTTCTGGGCTCCTTCAGGTTTGATGACACCGAATGTCCCCCCTCTGGTTTGCAAACTCTCTGCTTCTCACCTGGCTCTTGTCCCTACTTGCTCCCCAATGATTATGATTTTATTAGGCTCCAGAGATACCCTCAGGCTAATCAAATCAACCCTCAGAGTGCTAAGGGAAAATGGCAGTGAATATACCATGAAATGAATTAATAGAGACACCTGTTGTCACTGGGGTAAATGACCCTCTTCAGTGGTCCTGTCTTGGCTGTTCCTGGCAATCACTTGGAGGAAGTCTACAACTATTGACTCCTCTTTCCCACTCCCATGGATTTTGATGTGATTGGTCTGTGGTGAGGTCTGGCATCAGGACTTTTTAAAAGCTCCAGGCGATTCCTATGTAAAGTTTTCAAATATTTGCTTTAGGTTGAAAAACAAACTGGTACCATTTTTTCCCCCACATTGCAGAGAACAGACATTACTAAATGAAAATGAAACAGTTTCTTAACTTTGTATCCTATTCTCTTGTCTGAGTAGACCATAACATCTATACAAGTATTTCTACATGAATGTAGTTTGGCTTAGATGGCATATTTAAAATTACCCTGCAAGTAAAATGAGATAAGTTGGGTGGACAGCTTTCAGACTTCTTAAAACAAACAATCAATCAAACAAAAAACTCCAAAATGTTAATACCATAAGGATTGATTCTTCTGTCTAAAGTGAAAACTAGGGTTGAATGTTTTCCCCACTCCCTATCTTAACACGGAAAGCTGTCGGTCCTTTCAGGATGTGGGCCAATATCCCCCAACCTCACAAAATTGAGAAGAATTGGCATTCTCTCACTGGACCCTCTCCCACCTGCAGGTCACATGCCCAGGCTCTGGCTATTTTTAGAGATGCTGGTCTGGAGGGTCACGGGTCTTAGCTCTTAACTGAGGGGACAAAAGCCGGCTTTTGGGTCTGACTCATGCCTAAGACAAGCAAAGGGAGCCCAGGGGCATGCAGGTCTCCTTTGCTGTTGTTCTTCTTTGAACACCTGATGGGAATGTGTCCCTTCCAGATGTGGTAGCTGAGGAACCTGGCTAACTCAACCTCTGCTCCCCAGGCTTCAGAGATAAGGGTAGAGTGTCACCCTGGGGGCTGGCATCTTCGGTCTTAACGTCTGTGGGCCGTGTGTTCCTTTTAGACAGCAGAGCCGGCTCATACTTGGTACCAAAAGCAAAGCTACAATTTCTGGGGGAAAAAAAGGAGCATTTATTAGTTTAAACAGAGTTGTTCACAATGCCATGAAAATTATGCTATGTGTGGATTAAATAAGCCACACACAGCGTATTTGTCTTCTTTTATTATGTCCATTATTAGAGCTCTCTTGGGACACTCCTCAGAATCCCCCACCTGGGGAGTCCAGGTCTGAGGCTCATCTCAGGACAAAGCTGGGAGGAGAGCGATCACTAACTGTTTACAACTTACACCATCCCTAACAGACATCCCAAAGGGGTCCTGCCACAGCCCAGTTCTCACAGCTCCCAGGGGTGTGGCACTGTCATTTAGGAAGACTACTGGCTCTTCAGCAAGGACACATTTGGACAGATGTTGTGACCAGCTGTCTACTTGCTGGTGGAAGAGAGAAGGAATAGGACATCCATTATTGGCTGGAGCTACAACTTGAACAGAATGGGACAGGCAAAAAGAAGCCAGCAGGGGATGACCGGATATACTCCACCGACAGGACAGTCCAAAAGCCAGAGAAAGCTCCCAGCGGGGCTCGCGTGGATTATGGAGAGGGTGAGCATAAATGGCCAACTCCCCAGTATCTTGAACCACAGGCACCAGCCTGCCTTGTCTGTGGAGTCAGATACAGACAGGTCTCCTTGGCAACCAAGGCACTTGCTCTGCAGGGCTCTGGGGCAGGTGTCTGCAAGCCTGGAAGGAGTGCTACTGCTCCTGCCTTTCCAGACATGTGTCGTCCCTTCATCGCTGTCATCGACTGCCTTCGGGTCACTCTCTGTCATTGAGGAAAATCCACCCCCACTCCAAAGCCTGAGAGATTTCAAGCCCTGTGAAGACAGCCGGGGAGCAGTTTCACTTCCCAAGTCCTGAATCTCCCTGGCTGCATTGCACCTCAGCGCCAGCCCCCCCCCCCAAGCAAAGAGGCCATCCTGGGTCCACCATCCTAGAAATGTCCCAACACAGAAATTCTACACTCCAGCCGTCCACGTGCAGATCCTCTCCCACCCTCTCCACTTTCTCTGCCTCATCCCTGCCCACACTTGTTTCCCCAAAATCTCGAATTCCTTCCTAGCAAGCTAGGTGCACCCCCTCCGCCTCTCCTCTCCAGGACTCGGCTCCTTTGTTCTGAATTACCAGCTCCTGGCAAAAACCACACCCGTGACCTGTGCCACCAGCTGCCTTCTCTGAAGCTGACCTCTGAGCCTGCTGCGGCACTCAGTGACTACAGAATCCTGTGCTTTGCCCCTCAGCTGAGCCCCGATCACTGTTTATCAGCCTTTCTAGCTGTGTTTGACAAACTTCTTCATCCTGTCTTCTCAGTGACTCTCAGGTAATTGCTTCACTTCCTACTTTATTCACAAAACAGGCAGCAGCAGCAACAGCACGATCCATGTCCTACCTCGTTTCTGGCGTACACCCTTCAGACCATTTCTCCAATTCCACCCGGGGCTCAGCAGGCAAGCCCCCTCCCCGCACTCCCCAAACCACCCAGGGAGGGCTTGGTCCACATGCGCCCTCTGGAAGTGGCGTCACTGGTCTTCCTCCCATTTTCCTTGACTTTCCACATCTGCTTCTCCACTGGCCCCTCCTCTTTTGTCTGCAGCCCTGCTCAGGTTCCTCTCAACCTGATGTTCCACCCTTTGACCTAACAGGCCCCCTCTGGAGCTTGGTAGGTGAGGGCCCACAAGAACCCTGTATTGGTGAATAAAATTCCATTGGGATATCAGTGTGCTCATTTGTTTATATATCGTCTACAGGTGCTTTTGCTCTACAACAGCAGAGTGGTTGAGGGGTCGTGAGAGAGGTCATATGGTCCACGAAGCAAAAAATATCTGCTCCATGTCCCTTAACAGAAAAAATTCTCTGTTCCTCCATACTCGCCACTCAATTCCCTCCTCCCCACTCCTCCACCCACCGCCACTGTGATCTTATTTCTGTGCCTTATCATCTTCTTAATCTTTCCTCACTTAGGTCATTCAGATGATTCATAATTTCCTAATCCAAAGGCAGGGGAGATGTTCTCATTTGGGTTTTTTTTAAGATTTTACGTATGTATTTATTATGTATTTGGGGTGGGGGTCGAGCCAAGGGAGAGGGACAAGGGCTGAGCCCCTCATGAGGCCCAATCCCAGGACTGAGATCATGACCCCAGCCAAAACCAAAGTCAGAGGCCTAACTGGTTGAGCCACCCGGGTGCCCCAGATTTTCTCATTCTTTATTCATTCCTCTGGCACATTGGACATCTGTCTGTCACACCCTTCTTGAAATTCTGCAGAAAGACCCCAAACTCAAATGCCCAGAGAAGCCAGGCAGACCATGTTAATAAATGAAGCAGGCCACATTGAAATATGAGTATGTGGGAACCTGGAGAGCTTGTCCCCATAGCAAAGAGGCAGCCCCATAAACTCCTATAGAATCCCATATACCCAGCTTTTCCAATGCTTCAAGGGAGGCTAGAAATGCAGAGTTTATGTGACCTCTCTCAACTCTAGAATGTTGGCAACTATTTAAAAAAATATTATGAACGCTGATGAGTGAAACAAGACAAAATTTTTGACCAACTTACCCTACAGGCTGTGGATTAGTCCTCTTGCACTCCAAGTCCATGATGGAATTTCTCCAGTTCTCTTGGAGAATCTCTGATTTTTGCTGCTAGAGGTTCTCTGTGAGAAAAATCATTTCTGCCTTCCCGGGTGTTCATCCCCAGTCCATGGGGTTTTTATTTGCTACACAGTCACTCTAGGCAAAATCCCAAATTCATATCTCACTCTCTCACCTGTGCCCTTGCTTCTGACTCTTGTTTCCAGTACCTGCTGGATCACTCCACCTGCAAATCCATGGACACTTCAACATCTGCATCAGACCTCCACCATCCTTAACCCCTATCCCTACCCTATGCCAAGACAACACCCATTTAAGACTCAGGATCACCCACCCATGAAACTGCCCTTCTTTCTATCTTACCATGGAAGGATTGGGGTCCCTTTCTTTATGTCTTTTTTTTTTTTTAAGATTTTATTTATTTATTTGACAGAGAAAGAGAGATCATAAGTAGGCAGAGAGGCAGGCAGAGAGAGAAGGGGAAGCAGGCTCCCTGCTGAGCAGAGAGCCCAATGCGGGGCTCGATCCCAGGACCCTGAGATCATGACCTGAGCCGAAGGCAGAGGCTTAGCCCACTGAGCCACCCAGGCGCCCCTTTTTATGTCTTTATAATATTTGATAACTATACTTTTTACAAAATATTATTCGTCTTTGTGTCTCTCTTAGCCCCCTAGAGTATGGCCTTTCAGTGGGCAGGGACTGTGTCTCATTAATCTCTATATTTCTACCTTTTAACAGAGTGCAGTCATATAATAATTTCCTAATAAAGGTTTGGCAAATTAATATACACACAAATAAATAAGAGAAAGATGCACTAAATATTAAACTTCCAAGTTTTCCATGTATTTAGAACACTCTTACTAGTGTTATGTTTATTTTACAGTATCTTCAGTACATAAGCAGCATTAGTGTTAAGATTTTAGTATTTATCAGGAGAAGAGGTAATTTTCTCTTATGATTGTTCAAAGCATTTGTTTTCATGTTACAGTAAAGCTCTATTATGTACAGCAATAAAAAAGTTTAATAAATGAAAGTCAATGAATAAAGTAGGATTTGCCAAATAAATATATCATTAAGCAAAACATAGTAAGGACACATATCTTTTAATACATGTGAGATTTACTGGGAGAATTCACTCCTGTACAGAATAGAAAAAGCAGTTTTTTGATCTTCAAATCTTGTCATGTGGAATGAGAGTTGACAATGAAACAAGTTTCTCTCAAGCAAACGGAGGCAGTGATTCCAGCTTTCCAGAGGCATTTCCAATACTCTACCATGTATTTGGTTTTGTGGCATACTTTTAAGAATCCTTTGAGCTTTATCTCTGGGGGGAGGCTCTGGGGGCACAGCAGGGTGAAAATGCTGAAGTAACATTAGTTTTATTTTTATCCATGGTTAATTGTCTGGGACTCCCCATCATTATTACCACTTGCAGATTAAACATTAAGGTATAGTTCTCTTTTTGTACCAATAGGTGGCAGTATTGCTTTGGAACAAACAATAACTTTTTTTTTTTTTTTTTAAAGACTTCTATACCTCTGTTTTATCTTTATTTCATTCCTAGACTCTAGGCCTCAGAAGGCCCGGTACGAATAACAATAGAATAAATAAGACACAAACATGATAGCTGAAGAAGGTTTACCAATATCACCTCTTCATTCACAGTCTTGCTTTTGAAAGAAATGCCCACTAATGTCTCTTCCCTCAGGAAGGCTTCTTTCTTATCAGTTAAAGCTAGAGTGACCAGTAAGGCAGAAAAAAATAGGTTCCGTGTTGCAAGTGGTAAATTTGCTTCTCTTGAGAACCTCCAGATTCACTAATTCTACTAATTCTACTAATTTACTCCCCACCCTGGCAAGAATCTACTCCGAGGGGCGCCTGGGTGGCTCAGTGGGTTAAGCCTCTGCCTTCAGCTCAGGTCATGATCTCAAGGTCCTGGGATTGAGCCCTGCATGGGGCTCTCTGCTCAGTGGGGAGCCTGCTTCCCCACCCCCCACACCGCCTCTCTGCCTGCCTCTCTGCCTACTTGTGATCTTTGTCAAATAAATAAATAAAATCTTAAAAAAAAAAAAAAGAATCTACTCCGAGTATGTATTCACATAAGTCTCTTTCTTACATTGATTGTTAGCATAGCACTGGAGTCAGGCTGACCAATTTGTTGATTATCTCTTAATTATTTTTAAATTTATACATATATATATGTGCCCATGTAACCATTACACTGATTAAGATTAGAATATTTCCAATATTTCAGAAGGCTCTCTATGCCCTCTTAATTTTTATAATTGGGAAAACACTTTATTTCTCAAATAGTGTGTTTAAACAAAAGCAAACAAACAACAACCTCATGAGGCAGAAAAATTGGGAAGAGGCATTGCCCTGCTTTATACGTCAGGTCAGGG